TTGGTATTGATTACTTAATTGGTTGGTTATTGTAATAATTCTAGATTGGCTCTTTCAAAATTTTATTTTTGGTTGAATGAAGGTGAATGCCTTGTAGAAGTGAACATTTAAGTTTAATCAAACTAAAAAAAATGTAACTCTCCTATCATTAGGAAAGAATTATATTATTACCATAATATGATAGTTTGACCATTAATTATGGTATTTAAATATTTACTATTAAGTTCAAGTCATTTTAAGTTTGAATTAGTTTGAGTTCAGATCAATTCATATCCAAGTTAGATCGAATTCAAGTCAATTTGAATTCAAGTCTCCTTTTAGTTGGCACTTGTATCCATAAGTCCTCTTTTGTTAGCTAATTTTCCTTTATTAAACCAAAATAGTTAAGATCCTTAATTGAATTAAACCATAAGGCAAGTTCTTTTTTAAAAAAATTACTTATAGACAAGCCTTAAATCATAAAATTAACCAAAAGTTGGATCCTAAATTGTTAAAGAATAATGTCATATTTGGTTCTTGAACTATACAAATTGTTCTTACGTAGCACTCTATTTTTAAATTGTATAATATGGTACTTGTATTATCCTTTTGTGTGTTAATTCGATACTAAAGATTAACACTATTAAATGGAATAGTTGACATGATTATTGCCTAAGGAGATTATGACACATCATATTTTGTGTCATATCATTTTGCCATGTAATAAAAAAGGATGAAGTTGCATGCATTACATCCACATAAAAACACATGTGTCAATAACTTGGCAACCAAGTGTACAGTAAACCTGCTCATGGGTTGGGCGGCTCGTCTGAACTCGAAAGCCTGCTTGAAATTTTGAAATGTTTGGATATAAATATTAAGTCCGTTAAATGAACCTAAACAAATAAATGAGATCTTATAAAGAAATAGAGTCGAGTTTGGGTTTCACTATTTAAGGTCTGACCCACTTTGAAAATTAAAAAATATTTTTTATCATAATAGGACAAAGCCCATTTTCTTTATTTTTATAATGGATAAGGCACATTTGTTTTATTACTTATAATATGATAAAGCCTATTTCTTCTTTATACAAAACAATGATCCAATTTTAAATTGCATTCAACAAAATTAAATTGGACCCAAGCCCACATAACTTGTAAATTCAATTTAAATTAATTAAATTAGTTTAATTAATAATTTATAAAAAAATGAAAAAAAAAACTCTTTTTCCCAATTTTGAATACCAATACTTTGGGCGGACTTGAACTTTTATATTACATGTAGGAATGGGTTTGGGCAGAAAATAAGACAAAAGAAATCGGGTCGGATCAAACCTAAACTTGCTTAAAATGCTAGAATATCATGTTAGGACCGACTCGAACTCGGCTTGACTTGATCCATAAGTAGGTCTAGTGTATAGGTACTCCATCTTACAAATCTTTGCCATGTTATTGACATGTATGCTTCATTTTGATGTTACGTGTATAACTTATTAAAATTTTTGATGACTTTGCAAAATGGCATAACACAAAATGTCACGTGTCATTATCACATTGGATGATAACCATTTCAATTAACATATTTAACAGTGTTACTCTTGAGTATCGAATTAATGCATATAAAGATGATACTAATATCACTTTACACATTTTTAAAGTAAAAGTATCACATTGGAAAAAATTTTATAATACAAGAATATAAAATTATCCTTTATTAAGAAAAGTTAGCTAGATATAAGACTCAGTGTTGTATTGTAACAAAAGTAAGCTATAATACACACTCTGACCACCCATTTTGCCGATTTTATCTTCCAACAATAATGACATTAGAATCTTACATAATGTTTGATTTTCTTAATCAATTTAATGAATTTTGAAATTTTAATGGGTAATTTGCATCAAAATAAAAATTTGATGGCTTGATTTCGCAATATATATATATATATATATAAATTTAATGGCCAAAAATAATATTTTAAGAAAGTCTTATTATGGTTAAAAAGTACATTATCCAAAATTTTTTTGCGAATTCTACCAAAAGGTTAAACATAAATAGTCTTGTTAAGAAGAGTATATATAAAGATGGTAACGGGTCGAGTCATGGTAAATTTTTTCTCATTCCAAATTAAATATGATTTTATGTATTAAATATTAAAATCAACTTAATTCAATATTAAAATATTATTTTTATACTCTACTCGATCCAACTCATGCATGTATAAAATTGCAATCGATTTGACTTGATTCTTGATTAATAAAATATTATTTTTAATATAAATATTATTTTTAAATATAAATATAAAATTAAATAAATAACTAAAAAATATTTATATATATATATATATATACCGGGTCGAATTGGGATGGATTTACCTAAAACCCAATCTCAATCTCAATCAAATTCGAAACAACTTACAAGATTAAGTCAGATCAAAATTGGGTTGATAAGTATATACCAAAGAAAAGTAATCTATTAATGAGAGTTATACGACTTTAATTGAATTGATGATGTCCTCAAATTGCATTAAACTAAGGGTTTATTTGGATAGATGATAAGATTAATTTTAATGAAATTAAAAATAGTGGTGACAGTAAGATTAATTACTGTAGTGGTGAGATTGGATACTGTAACGATGAGATTAAAATCAATGATGAAATATGTGTTTGAATGTAAATGTAATGGTAACAGTGAGATAAAATATAATAAAAAAATTAATATTATAAACATTAGATTAAAATTTATATATAATAAATTTTATAATATATTTGGTATTTATAAAGTTAACAAATAATTGAAATTTAATATGATTGTTTTTATATCCAAATAATAATTATTTTTAGTTTAAAATAAAGTTTAAAAAAATAAAAGAATTAACAAAATGAAAAAAAAAAAAAGCTTGAGTGCACTGTAATTTCAAAAGTAAAAAAATAAAATAAAGTAGGGTCTTTTATGAAAATTAGAACTGCTGTGAGAATGAAAATTCTCACCTGACCCCCTTCCCTTCAGTGAAAATTTTGAGGCACAATAGAATCTTTTTTTTTTTAATCACACTGATAATGTGGCATTCAAACAACTTATTGCGGTGCAATTGCACCAAAAAAGAGAGTAAACGCTCTCAAACGGGACTCCGGCCTAATTCAAACGAAAAGATTTTTTATTCTCTGGATAGGTGTCAATAAAAAAGTTTTTTTTGTTGTTTTGATTTTTTTAAAAAATGTTTTTTATTCAAATAATATTATCATAATTATTATTTTAAAAGAAAATATTATCATAATTATTAAAATATTAAAATTATTTAGCATTAACAATATTAATATTAAAACATAATTATATATTTTTTAATGATATTCAGTATTGAAATATTATATTGATATTAATATTAATAATCTAAAATAAACTATTTTTTATATGAATTTTTTCAAAATATTTGAAATAAGATTATTATTCTTAAAATATTATTTCTATTAATATAATAATATCAAAAATAGTAATAATATTATTAAAATATTTATACTATTAAAATAATTACATTTTATACTGACAGTATTTATTATTAAATCTTAAGAAAAGTATTATTTATTTATATTTATTATTAAAATAGTGTTATAAATGTATTTGTCAATAAAATATAAAAATGATATATTTTAAATTGAAAAATATTAAGAAATGAATAATAATATTCATATTACTAAAATAATAATATTATTATATTAAGTAATAAAATAATTAATATATTATTTACTAAAGTAAAATTTATTATTTCTTATTAAAATTATAATATAATACTATTTATTATTGAATATTAGAAATATTTATGTTTAACAATATACAAAATTAAAATATTAGAAAACTTTTAACATGAACATTTAATTAAAATTAATTAATAATATTTTAGTTAATATAATAATATTTCTGATTGAATTAAATTAACCCCAAACTTAAAATATATTCTAAGTTTAGCTTGAGTAAAACTATATGCACAAGATAAGTAATTCTATTCATGGATTTTTTTTTAAATTATCATTTTTTTTAATATTTAAAAATTTAATTTTTTATTGATTAATAAATCTTTTTTTATCAACCAATTAACTTTTAATCAAACACAAAAATATATATATATTTTTTTACCAAACAATCAGAGCCTAAGTAAAGGACTCTAAAAGATCAACTGCCAATATTATAAGAATGAAATCTGTCACATATAAAAGACGCAGACTTATTCCTTTACCCTCGTCAGGATGGGGAATTAGGGCCGCTGAGGCGCTATTACACTTTTTTTTAGTTCAAATCGTGTACCGTGATGATGTTAAGATATCATTGCTAAGGGACGTTAACCGCCGAAGACTAATTGGTGATAAAAAGTCCAGTTACAAAATTTCTTTCCCACCGCACCCCACAATCCCATCTTACCCATGAGTTTTGTTTTTATTCCTTTTTTGTAATTAAAGTTATAATTCTTTCTTTTTTGTTTTACCATTTTGATTTCTTATTTAGAAATTTTAAAATAATAACTTCATTGATTTAATATAATAAATTAATTTTATTATATAATAAATAAATTCTATTGTATAATAAATAACTAATATGTATTAATACTTTTATTAAATAATATTAAAATAATAAAAATAATTTATTAATATATATTTAAAATAAAATTAATTAATTTTAATCTTACTAGTATAATAATTAATATTATCATGACAATAATCACTTTTATTTTTATCATTATTTTTAATCTTATCAAAATTAAATTTACCAAATATCCAAAATTAAATTTTACATCGTGGGCTTTCCTGTAAAACAAAAATTATTTTTCTTCGTAATATTTGTTACGCGGACCAGCATGATCTTGCAGTAAAATGTCATTCAAAGACTCTAAGACCCATTATCATTTTTATAAACAGTGGCCATACACAGCCTTGCAGGGGTCAATTTCAGAGGTCTCCAACAAGCCGACATATGTTTAAATGTAGCTAATTAAACACCTAAGGTGCCGAGCCCAAACTAAAGCCAGCTATCAACCTCTAACCTGCGTTCTTTTCAAGGCCAACCATAGGATGTTTTCAAATTGATAGACAAGAACGCAGTCTGCAGTGACAGCTCTGCCCTTTTAGGCCATAGGCTTTTATTACAACTAGCTTTGGTCTGCTATTGTTTTAAAAACAGATACTAAAAAAAAACAGATATAGCTGGACTGAACTACAAACATTGCCTCATTTTCTTCATCAAAAGAACAAAACCCTGAGGCACGAGGCACAGAGTAAAAAAAAAAATGCATAAAGACAACAAAAAGTTTCTTCGACTATAAATGTTTCCCCTTATCTCTTTAGTCTTGTCTAAAATCACTACTCAGTTTAGAAAATTATATTTGCCCCTGTTAGAGAAATCCAAAAACTTCCCAATCAAAATGGTTGTAACTAAATTGTATCCAAATCTTCTTTCCTTTCTCAGGCTCCCTTACAGACACAGTTTTCCTCTTCAAAGTCCCAGCAAGATGTAGTAAACAAGTGTTATAGGAAGGGCAATCAACATTCCAAATATGACCCTGAACAAAATTAGGAATGATGAAAGAGTTTTTCAGTATCACATCATGAAATTTATGCATCATTAACAATGATGACATATTAAACATTAATAATTACACTATTCAATTAAAAAACAAGGAAAAAGAAAAATCATTCGTAACAATCATAGCAAACATGGAATTTTTTGTACATTTGGACTCTGGACCACCAGAATAAGCTTAAAAGCTGATATTTTTCCAATAGAGAGACATGCACATCAATGCCGGTCATGCACGCATGAAGTAAGTTTGCATATGAGAAATTGGAATTAAAATAAAAAATTTCTAAATAACGCACCCTGTGCTCAATATGTCAGGATGAACATTGTATTCCTTTGCAAAGACGAAAGGGACAATCCCTTGTGGAAGAGCTGCCTGAAAATTTCAAACAATTCAAAGTCCTGAATCAAATCTACTTAAACCACACAAACTTGGGTAAACAAGAGACTGCTATTACCTGCACAATAGCAATGCGCAGTAGAACACCTCTCAAGCCCACTGCAATTGAGGCAGCAGCCATGACCGCAGGACCCGTTAGGAACCGAACTGCCATGGCAAATGCCGCAATTGTGTTTCCACATGCAATAATCCTTGGCTGAAGTGCCATGAACAAACCTACCACCCAAAATTTCAGCTTGTTTAGAAGAATCAAGCCAAAAAAATTTGACAACAGCACAGGATAGGTTGCGTACACAGAAAATCCTTAATCAAGTTGATAATCAACTTACCAAGACTAAACATGGCCATTCCAAGACCTGCATTAGAAAGTATAGATATTGAACCAGCAATTATAGCAGGCATGTGAATACCCCACCTGCACAAATGCAATAAGCCCACTAAAATTTTGTATAAATGGATTAGAAAAGAACACTTCAAAGAACAGGCTATGTGGTTTTACGCACCTGAATGAAACAAGAGACCAGGTGAGGCCAATCAAACTGGAATAAGTGTTGGGGTTCCTAATTAGTTTTCGCCACACCATGATCAGGATGAGTCTAGTCATAACACTTGCAGGAGGCATAGCAGTTGGCTTAATTTCAGCATGAGCACCAACCTTGGGGTGGAGTTCAGTTGTGGAACTTGAACCAAGCTTGGAAAGCACTGGTCCTTCACGGTCAACCCCATTTGTTACTCGCTTATTACCAAAGCTAAATTCGTCTCTACCATACTCATCATAATCTGAACATCAGGAAAAAAAAAACATTAAATTATTGCTAATAGAACAAAAGAAAATGACATGAGATGAAAGCATTATCCGAGTGAAGACAAATACGACCAAAAGAAAACAGAGCACTCTGTTGATCGAAAGAAAGATCAAAACCATCAACAAAGAAAGGCGAAAAGGAAAAGAGGCAACAAACAACGACAAGACAAATACAGTCACTCCAATAAACATAAGATTGCCAAAAAAAAAAAAAACAAATTGCAACTCATTCACGTCCGATACTATAAACCACATTAAAAATTCCAAGAAAAAAAAAATCAAAACCACAGATAACGATTAACTAATAACCTTAAAGTTTAGTGTTGGTACCTGCCAAATCTTGAGACTCCCTCAATACAAAATCAAATCAGAACATGCAGCAAACAACCAAAAAATACCGAAACCCAACTAATACTTTGAAAGGTTAGTGTTTATACCTTTTTGGTGAGCTACCCCACCAAGATCATTGCCATACTCTCCTCCCCTGAAAACATGAATCCCACCCTCTGATACAGGAGAAGCGCTTGAACTCCAAACAAACATATGCAAATCCTTGCCACCATCAGTTCCATTTGCCTTTTTCTTGGCACCTGGTCCAGTCACTGGCGAGAAGATTCCAGCGCTAGTGGGTACAGGGTAAGAACTGCCATGTGCTCTACCTGCATTACCATATACCCCAAGTCCATTCTCTTCATCAAAACCCAAGTTTCCAAAGTTGGATTGTCTAGGACTGACATTGCTTATGCTTCTTCCATTCACCATTGAGTAGAAATCAGTGTGGTTGAAGCTGGATCCTCTTGGCGTTGGATTCCTGGATGATTGGAGGGAGTAAATTTCTGCATTTGTCAAATTTGATGGTCTTGGGGTTAAAGAAACGCCTGAGTTTGGACCGTGTGACCGACGAGAAAAAATTTCCGATCGAGAACTAGTAGATTTTCTGACAGTGACGTGGAGTTTCCCGTCTTCCCCGACCTCGGCTTCAGTTTGCAATGGCTCTTTTCCATCGAGCGAAATGATATCAGAATCAACTTTGAAAGAAATGATAGAGCCAGCAGTATCTGGGAATTGCTCTGCTATCAGAAGTCTAGCTCCTCTGTATTCAAAAAGGAAGAGCATCAATGTGTACCAAATTATGCATTGAAGCACGACTATTTGGACCATTAAGCTCCCTGAATGTTCTCCATACATTCCCTTCAACAAAGGGATGCCCATGACAAGAGTGTTTGGAAGAGTTGAGAGCGAAAATAAGGTGATGGACCATTCCAGGGAACCTCTTGAGCTGGTTCTTGACCAGATGGCTAACGCTACCAAGACTATGATCTTTTGAAGAGTATCTGCTGCTATGAACCTCAAGTTCATAGCATATGGATTGTTGGTGGATATGAAATGGAAAGAAAGGAGGGGCACTGCAAATAAAGCAACAAACCGATTGATGCCAGAGCACTGGTCAGGGCTGAAGATTTTCCACCATTTCACAGAGCCATAGGCTAAGATCATGGCCACATAAAGTGGCACCACGGCGGTAAGGACATGATAGAGGTCTGTGGCAGTGATCATTGTGTATTACAAGGGAAACCCAGACGAAAAATGGGGCTAACAAGTAAAGCCCAGGTACTATTTTACACAAGAACGGAAAAGGAATGAACTTTGTATGATTTTTCTCACAGATGTCTGTGTTTTCTTTGGTTATTGAACTGAGCAAAAGTGAAAAACAGTGGGGTTGGAAAATGACTATAAACAGAAGAGACAAAATAACTCAAAAGAATTCAGCCCATTACCCTACTCAGTCAAGGTAGTAAAACTAAGAGAAAAAAAAAAGTGAAGAACACAGCCGCAAATGAATGCCCGAAATTGATTTCCCGGCGAGAGAGAGAGAGAGAGCGAGAGAGAGAGAAAGGAGAGAAGTGAAGGAGGGAGAAGGGACTCGATGGTAGGCAAGGATATAAAAGCAGGGGGCTTTTTAAGAAACTTTAGTGTACTAATCTATGCTGGTTTTGAGAGAGAAAGGGATGGGGTATCTGAGAGGAAAAGAACAGAAAGGAAACAAAATGGGTAGTGTTGAAGTTGGCGTGTGAGAACGAAGAGAGTAAAAATGGCCAGAGAGCATATATCAGAAAAGAAAAGGAAAAGGAAATCAAGAAAAACAAAACCAACACCAGAGCGCTTCAAAAGATACTCTTCTTATTTATAATCATGTGTACTTTATACTTCAGTCTGCGCATATTTGATTTTTCTGTACGGTTCACATAAATATAAGCTTATTTAATAAAATTTTTCATTATGTTATTAAATTCCCTTTTCAGAAGTTTTCGAGGGTATAGTTTCTAAAATAAAATTTATATATAATAATATTAAATAAATATATTTTGTAATAATATTAAATAAAAATATTTTATATTTTTTTATTTTTAACAAAGATTAGTTTTTATCTTAGAATCATTGTTTTTCAATAATTATTTTATTTTTATCTTAAAAACATCATTTTTATTAATTTTAAAAATATTTTTTCATATCTTTAACAAAATCAGCGTTTTTATATTAAAAATATTATTTTTGTAATAAAGATAATATTTTTATCTTTAAAAAGTCATTTTTATTAAATTTTAAAAAATAAATTTTTTATATGTTCAACAAAAATCACGTTTTTTTATCTTAAAAATATTATTTTTATTGAATTAAGTGTACAAAATGTATATTTTTTAATATAAAATTTTTAATAAACTGTGTGTATTAATAACAATTATCTGATTGAAAATAAATGACTGTTAATAAAAACCGTAGTCTATATTCACCATAATCATCTATCCATCACATAAAACTCCAAACCAAGTGCAAAACATCAACAAAAGCAAACTGCCAATTACAGCTTAGCATCCACCATCTGCACCACCATGACAACTCACGTAGGTCTCTTCACCCCAAAATCTTTATATATATTCAATTGAAAAAAATACTATTACATCGGCAATTATAGTCTCATAAATAAAAGTGGGCTATTCTTCCACCCAATACACTTTGATTTTAAGGAAATTGCATGCTCTGCTAAGAGGTTCGCAACTTCATTAGCTTCCCATTTCTTTGAAAAATTCAATTACTTTAACTGCTATAATACACTCTGCAATATCACCATCAATCACATATTCTTCTACTGTTGTTGCCACTACCAAAATTGCTTGTTCATTGTCCCTTGTAATCACAACTAGACCGCTTAACTATTCTTCAGATGCAAAGTTGAAAGAATAAGAGATGGGGTGGATTAAGAGCGATAGGAAAGTTGAGTTTTATAAAAAGGGTAATGTTATAATCAACGTTTTGTTCTCTAAACGTAGTCTATATTAATAATAGATTATGGTTTTAGTTTTAACCGTAATTTTTATATTTAAAGGGTGAAATTATGTTTTTCTAAAACGTAATTTATTGTGTTAAAGACTACATTTTTAATTTTAGAAAAGTAGTTTATGATAAAATTCAAGAGCTAAAAGAAAAAAATATTTTTTTATAATATATTTTCTATAAAGATTATATTTTTAATATTAAAAACGTAATATTTGTTAAAACTATAGGATTTTACAAAATAATTTAAATATAGTCATTGTCTGATATCAAATAATATGATTTAAAATATTCTGTACGTGTTAGTTTAAATCTCAATTTATTATATAATTTTTTATATTAAAGAGTAAAATAAATAAAAAAAAAAAACCATTTACTCAAGATAAAAGTAAGATAAATTTTACATTTCACTAAAAATTTTAAAAAATTTCAAGAAGATAAGAGTTTATAATTCATAGCTATTTTTCCTCCTCTCAACATTACTAAAAATTTTTAAAAACCTCAGTAATTTTATTTCGTGAATCAAATTAAAGAATCAAATTATAAAAAATAATATTTTGATTAGTAATTTTGCTTCCCCCCCCCCCCAACCAAATACCCTTTAAAGTTAAACTTGAAAATATAACAACTTTTAACATTATGAAAGAAAATTAAAAAAAAAAAAGAAACTAATTTGTGCTTTTATTTTTAAAAAATCATTTTATACATAAAAGTTTAGGTTTATATTTGATGGGCTGAACTATATAAACTCTATACATTATTATTAAATCATGATTTAAAACATCATTAATGAGCAAATTTTAAAAAATTAAGTCTTAAAATGTAAATTATAAAAATTTATTTCAATTTATTTTAAGGATTAAATATAAATTTGACCCTTGAAATATACAATTTTTGTCAATTTAGTATAAAAAAATTAAAATTCACAATAAGGTAATCGAATTTTCATTTTGCCAAGCATTTTTTATACTTCAACTTAACATTGTTAGTTATTCGCTGAAATGGTATAGATTTTCAATAAAATCATGCCACATGTATCACATCACATGGTAAAAGTGTCACATCATCACCACCATGTCAGCATGAAAAGAAAACACATTTAAAAAAAATAAAAATATAAAAAATATAAAATATAAAAAGTTAAAATTTTAAATATATATAAAAATTAAAAATAAAAAAAAACCAAAATATCACAATTAAAATTTTAAAATCTGAAGTTTTTTTTTAAAATAAAAATCTATTATTTAAATTAAAAACTTTTTAAAAACAATGAAAAGAATTGATGAGAGTGAAAGGGAATGAGGGAAGCGAAAAGGGGTAAACCAACGTTGAAAACTGGTCAACCTAGGGTGTATTAGGGTTGATTTGTCTAGTCCGATGCAAATCGATGTCGATCTACTCAATTCAGAGTGGATCATCTTAATCTACCATGGGTCGCTAGTTTACGATGTTAATCTACCTCTTAGTCCTTCTCGCCCTTTTCCCTCTCTTCCCATTCCCTCATTCCCCCTCTCTTTCCCTGATTCTTTCTTTTTCCTTTCATTTTTATGATTTTTTTTATTTTGAATTAAAAAATGTATTTCTTTTTTCAAAATTTTTCATTTTTGTTTGTTCATGTTACGTGTCAAATAAATGATGTGATGATAACCGGATATTTATTGTTTTGGCCACATTAGCTATATAATTAATGATATTAATCCAAAGACCAAAGTACTTACTGGGTGTATGTTTAATTATCAAATTGTGAATTTTTATTTTTTATGTATCAAATTGATAAAAGATATATAGTAAAAAAATCAAATGAAGATTTAACCCTAATTTTAAGGATTTTTCAACTTTCAAGTTTATTTTATTGATTATGTGGCGGCATTTGATTTAATGATAGTGCATCAAATAAAAACTCTAAAAATACTTATTATTTATTAATCTCTTCACTATTCTATAGGTCATCTTATTTAATGGTGTTTTCATAAATTTCACATAGGTTGTATTTCTTGTTTTCAAGTTATACGAAAAGGTCAAAATCACAAAGATTACAATTTCATACTATACTTTTTGATAAAATTATCATACATGCAAGTTTGATATCTATAAGAATACATAGAAAGTAGTCTCCAAATTGAAGACTGTTCAGGTACTGTTCAACAAAAGTTTCTAACTTTATGCCAATGTCATTTTGTTCTTAGCTATTATATAAGTTTTTTAAAGACTTGGGATTTTAAAAAAATTATTTAATAGTAGATTTTTATCAAAGAAGCTTATGGAAAAAGCACTCAAAATAGTTTTTTATTTTTATAGCTTGGTAGTAAAAAAAATAAAATAAAATAAAGAGAAAGGAAAGGAAAAGAGGAAGGAAACAATAAAAAAAGAGAGAGAGGCAACGCAAGAGGGAGGGAATCATCAATCGAAGTGCAATCGGTGCCAAACTATCAAATGGAGAGGTAAGGAGAAAGGGACGGATAGAGGTGTAACATGAACAATTTTGAAAGGATGGGTCTGTGAACACAGATTCAAAAGGAAACATCAATACGCAATGTGTCTTTGGTGTTCATATCTATCAAGATAGCATCTCTCAAGTCAGAGTTTCAAAATAAGGGTTTTTGTTTTTTTCGTTCCCTTTAATTAATTGGTGGGATAATACAAGGTCTTTGGTTGTCTTTTATTGTTTAGATGTAGAGTGATTTGGAATAGAAAGAGATGGTATATGTGCTTTGGCTACAAAAGTTGATACAATGGTAGGATTTAAGCATAAAGAAGTTTATCTTTGCAAATTAAAATTATGTGTGTTTTTTTTTTTTAATATTTGATTCTTAATTTTATTTTGGCCAATTGTTTGTTTTGATTTAATTAATTTCAGGAAAACATATTCGGGATGTATTTTTTAAAATGTTAAACAAGTTAAAAATTTAAAAATATCAACCCGCCATACACATCAGGTTTTTTTTTTATTACATCAGGAGGACAAAACCCTAATATAAGTAAAGGGGAAGGGAGAAGCTTGATTCAAAACCATAACCTTGATGTTACCTTAAACACTTTTAGCCACTAGACCAAAGGCCATACACATCAGTTTTAAGACAAGATTTGGTTTGATTTCATATTTCAACCTAATTGATGCATGACATGTTATAGCCTTTTTGGTTGCCTTGCAGTTATATTTCCTCCCAGTTGCATGTCATGTTTCATATTTCAAATAGATAAATGTTAGATTGTAGTTATAATAGCCTTGCTATGCTAAATTGAAACTCTTACGGTGCTACAACTAAAACTCTTTGATTTTATTAGTTATATTATACATCATGTTATACAATCATATCTTTCCAGCTAAATTAAAGAAGAAAATTCAGACATATGCTAGCAGGGGATGTTTTTAAGCTCTTGCTAGGATAGGTTTTAATGCTTTCGTAAGGTAAGCAACTTAAACATATATCGACACTTTCATATGAAGCTATAGAATGATTGTGCAAATTGTTACTAACTACATTTTAATTACACTCTTTTACGTTATTTATTTTCTTGCTATAATTTTGTTGTTCGCTTTACTTAATGTTTAGAATCAAATTTGTTTATTGTAATTTTTCACTATAATTGATGTATGTACGTTCATCCATGTTCAAAGGAGAGATGAAACCGTCCGTGAGTTTAAAATCCCCATTCAGTTTAGCACAAGCAACAAAGTCTGGCTTTGCTAAAGTATTCGATATTTGTAAGCTTAATTAGTTTTGATTTTTTTTTTAATTTAAAGAATAAAACTAGAATATGAAACATATGTTTACCCATCTTAGTATCATTAATTAAATAATATTTAAATTTAG